AAACTGGGTTCCAAGCGCTGCTTGTGGAAACCAGTTTCTGCTGAAGTGTTTTGTGCATGTGCCAGTATTACCAGAGTGCTAGTAAGTCTCCTGTGATTTGAATCTTTTTTTTTTCTGGGATGAGGGGATGGATGGATGGATGGATGGATGGATAGGTGGGTGGATGGATGGGTGGGTGGATGGATAGGTGGGTAGGTGGGTGGGTGAGTGGGTAGATGAACGGATGGATGGATGAATTTATGAGTCAGTAGATGGGTGGGTGGGTGAGTGGGTGAGTAGATGGATGGATGGATGCATAAGTGGGTGGGTGGGTGAGTGGACAGATGGATAGAAAACACACTAGCAGGACCAGGCACAGGCTTACACCTGTAATCCCAGCACTTTGAGAGGTCTAGACAGATGGATCACTTGAGCCCAGGAGTTCAAGACCAGCCTAAGCAACATGGCAAGACACTGCCTCTACAAAAATACATAACCGGGTGCGGTAGTCCCAGCTACTTGGGAGGTTAAAACAGGAGAATTGCTTGAGCCCAGGAGGTATAGATTGCAGTGAGCTGAGATCACGCCATTGCACTCCAGCCTAAGAAACAGAAGTGAAACCTTGTCTCAGAAAAAGAAAAAAGAAAAAGAAAGGAAAAGAAAAAAAAAGAAAAGAAAAAAAGAAAAGGAAAGGAAATAAAAGACACTAGCATTCATCATGATCCAATTTTGGACCAGGTGCAATGGCAAGTGCTTACACAAGTATTGCTTCATTTAATCATCACAAACATCCTTGGGATGGGTGTTAATCTCACATTTTTACAGACAAGGAAGCCCAGGCTGAGTGAGTGAGTCATGGAATTTAAATCCCAGTCCCACAGTCCTCCTACCACTTCCTGCTCAGGTGTTGGCCCAGTCCCACCATTGTGTGGGGAGGTTCTTTCCTGAGGGTCCCCAAGTGCCCAAATACTTCAGCCACCACACAACATGTGATTTTCTTGTCCTGGAACTCCGAGGTCCACAAGCCCACAGTGCCGCTGGCAGAGCCTGCTGTGATCCTGAAAATTCCTTTTCATCGACTCACTACAAGTTCAGAGACAAGGTGCGTGCCAGACCTGCACCCTGGGCTCCAGGGTGAGGAAGGAACTGCTCATCCTGTGCTGGGTCCCTGCCTCTGCTCCTGCTTCTCACCCTTGGCCAAACATTCCCCAATCCTGGGCGGCTCTGGCCTTGGGACAGAAGTCAGCCTGTCAGCCTTCCGGAACACCTGAGTCCATGGTGGCCACTTCCTCATCCCCACACCAGCTCAGCCCTGCAGGGGCGTCTGAATTGTTTCCTCCTACACAACACTGAACTGTGCCGCTCCCGCCCTGACCTGTCTCTAAACAGCATCACTAGTCCCAAGGCCTCCTGCAGTCCACTGGGCCCACAGACATGCCGACCAGCAAGCTGGGGGTCCTACTGAGAGACATTTGGTGCTGGCTGCCGTGCAGTCAGAGTGGGCCAGGCAGCTGGGGCCTAAGAGGAGCTGCTGGAAGGGCCGGGCGCGGTGGCTCACGCCTGTAATCCCGGCACTTTAGGAGACTGGCGCGGGCGGATCATGAGGTCAGGAGATGGAGACCACAGTGAAAATCCCGTCTCTACTAAAGATACAAAAAATTAGCCCAGTGCGGTGGCAGGTGCCTGTAATCCCAGCTACTCGGGAAGCTGAGGGCAGGAGAATGGTGTGAACCTGGGAGGCAGAGCTTGCAGTGAACCAAGATCACGCCACTGCACTCTAGCCTGGGCAACAGAGCCAGACTCCGTCTCAAAGAAAAAAAACCAAAAAACAGAGGAGCTGCTGGAGGAAGTGGAGCACCTTGGATGCCACCTGGACTCACATCTGCACCTACCACCCTCTCGGACCTGCACCCAGCCCCTGGCCCAGGCACCAGGAGAACCCTCTGTGTCTTTCCAACAAGCCCCGGGCAGGAGGGGCTTCACAAGCAGAAGCACCAGTCTCCTAAGTCCTCCACAAACAGCACCTGTGTGAGGGGCCAGAGAAAGAGAAGACAAAGAGGGCTGTGTGTGCACCACAGCCCAAGTCAGGTGGGAAAAATCCTCCTGTGGCTTTTGCTGTTGGCTGAGGCCCCTTCATTCTAGCTCACCATTGGCAGGTGTCAGACACCTCGGAGAGAAAAGAGGCTCAGCAGGTTTCCCCTGCCAGTGGGGGTCGAGGAGCATTCGTGCTGTCCACTGCCAGGAAATGTGGGGGATGCTGAGGACGACACAAACACACAAACACACACAAATACACACCCATTCAAACATACACACAAACATACCCAGACACACACGCACACAAATACACACCCAGACACACATACACACAAATACCCACTCATACAGAGACACACAAATACACATACACACAGACAAGCATACAAATACCCACCCACACACAAAAATACCTACCCACACAGACACACAAAAACACACCCACCGACACACACACACACAAATACACACCCATCCACACAGAGACACACACACACAAATATCCATTCACATACACGCAAATACACACTCACCCCACACACAAATACACACCCACCCACACAGAGACACACACACCCACATATACGCACCCATACATACATATACACACACAAATACACACCCACCACACACACACCCCCACACAGAGACACACACACCTATCCATAAACACACACACACACACACGCAAATGCACACCCATACACAGACACAAATACCCACACACACAGACACATACACATACACACACACCTACCCCACAGAGACACATACACATACACAAATATACACACACGTGCACACACACGTACACACACACACATACACATGAACATAAAAACACACAAACAGCCATCCACACATAGGCACACACATAAATACACACCCACACACAGACACATCCACACACAGACAGGCACACAGCCTGGACAGGGGCCTCCTGGGTGGGAGTGGATCCTGGCACAGGGCTGAGGGCATAGCAGCCCTGGTCATGGTCATCTGGGGAAGAGACTGGAGGGGTGGGCTGGGCATGGTGGCTCATGCCTGTCATCCCAGCTCTTTGGGAGGCTGGGGTGGGTGGATCACTTGAGGTCAGGAGTTCAAGACCAGCCTGGGCAACATGGTGAAACCCCATCTCTACTAAAAATACAAAAATTAGCCGAGTGTGGTGGTGTGCACGTGTATGCCCAGGCAGGCTGAGGTGGGAGGATCGCTTAAGCCGAGGAGGTCGAGGCTGCAATGAGCTGAGACCGAGCCACTACACTCCAGCCTGGGCAGTAGAGCAAGACCCTGTCACAAAAGAAAAAAGGAGAGAGAAACTGAAGGGGCTGATATGTAAGGAGGGAGGCTTAGCGCTTCCGAGACATCCTTGGTGCTTCGGGCCTGTGTGAGGAGGGACTGCCGACTCTAACATTTAAGCAGAAATCCAGAAGTGAGGACTTTGTTTTAATCTGTCACTTTCCCTCCTCACTAGATTTCTGGAAGGAGTTATTTATGAGTGAAGAGCCGGAGAATCCATTAGCAAACTGACACATGAAAGTGATGAGCAAGAGAAAGTTGTGAGACAAAACAGAGAAGCTGAGAGGCCAGAAACTTCCACCCAGGAGGCTGAGCTCCTGGTGGATCCAATGAGTCCCTCCAGGACGCCATCCGTCCTGGGATGAAGGCAGAGGGGTTGGAAGGAGGCGAGGCCGTCGGGGGAGAACAGGATCTTATGAAGGCGGGCCCACAGCAAAAGGAGAGATGATTCTAGAGCATCCAGTCTTCTAGTGCAGTAAAACAACCTCATTTTTCTTTTTTTTTTTTTTTTTTTTTTTTTTTGAGACGGAGTCTTGCTTTGTCGCCCAGGGTGGAGTGCAGTGGCCGGATCTCAGCTCACTGCAAGCTCTGCCTCCCGGGTTTACGCCATTCTCCTGCCTCAGCCTCCCGAGTAGCTGGGACTACAGGCGCCCGCCACCTCGCCTGGCTAGTTTTTTGTATTTTTTGGTAGAGACGGGGTTTCACCGAGTTAGCCAGGATGGTCTCGATCTCCTGACCTCGTGATCCGCCCGTCTCGGCCTCCCAAAGTGCTGGGATTACAGGCTTGAGCCACCGCGCCCGGCCCTTACAACCTCATTTTTCTAAGAGGTCACCCAGCTGAGGGTGCTCCCTGGGAGGGCTGAGGCGTTGGGGTGCCAGCTCCACTGCCCACTCACCTGCGACCTCAAAGCCCCTCTCCTCCATAGGGTGCTCCCGACAGCCACCTCCAGGGCAGTGGAGTGGCGAAGGGACAAAGGCTGGCCCGACCGTACCCTACCCAAGCAGAGGGTCCTTCCCCCAGACCTGGTGCCAAACTGAAGTGAAAGCCCAGCCACCTTGTCTCACAGTGACGGGAGAGTTTCTTAAACTGACACAGGCTGCGAACTTCCAAATGGACCCCTCCCTGCAAGTGTGGAACTGGCTCTGCCAGGCACTGCTTTGCCCATGCTTCTAAGACACAGGCAGAGGGCGCTGCCCACCACACTGGCAATGGCCTCAAAGCCCCTGTTCACGCCTGAAATAGCCCCCAGGGCCCCCACTGGCTGCAGTCAGCAGAGGGCAGGGTGGTGGGGGAGGGCATGGACACTCCGTGGGCTGGAGCTGGGAGAACAAGGCCTATTATTGGACAGTTGGTGGCCATGGCAACTACACAAGAATGCCTGAGACTGAAAATCCGTGGGCTTCAAGGAGCTCCAGCTCTTGCACTGGCTGAGTCACGGTGACTATATAACTCTTCCTCCCACTTTTGGGACACTTTTGAGAGGGACAGGAATCTTATCTAACAACACAGGATAGGTTAGGCATCGCCCAAGACCGTCCTGAGCAAGTCTGGACACCGTGACCCTAATGATGAAGATGTCCCGCAGACACTGCCCGGGGCAGGCACCATGCTCTCCCAACCTACCACAGCCAGATGTTTTTGTAAAGAATAAAAATGAATTACTAGAAAAGCAAAGACATAAAATACACATTTAAAAAACCTACAGTTTTTATTATTAGATTCCATCAATCCTACCAGAAGGGGGACCCTGGACTCCATGACTCAGGGTTCACAGGGACCCAAGCACGCGTATGGTCAACAGCTCAAGCAGCAGCACTGGGTGGGACCTGGAGGTGCCTGGATGGGACCCAGAGGTGCCTGAGAGGAACCCGGGGGCACCTGGGCGGGCCTCGGACATGCCTGAGCGAGGTTCAGCCAGGGTTCTCTGAATCCAGTCTGTGTAGCTTAGCACCTGGGTGTAGACACCAGGCCGGAAAGGCCGGGCACAGCCGAATCCCCAGCTCACAATGCCAGCCTGGACCCATGTATCATTGATGGGGCAGACCAGCGGCCCCCCGGAGTCACCCTGGGGGAGAGAGAGGGAGGGCCCCATGAGGTCTGCATTGAGGGAGACACCTGGGCCCCAAGTGCCTTCAAGAATCTGCTGCTGAGGCCAAGGAGCCAGGCAAGGACTCTGGTCCCTCTGGAGACCCTGAGGGGGGGAACATGGGGACAGAGCTCAGGACAGGGTAAGCCTAAAGAGCCCACACTTCTGCATGGGGTGACCAGGAGCTGCAGTCACCTGGCAGGAGTCTTTCTTGCCCTGGACAGAGCCAGCGCAGATCATGTCGTCCTGGATGAGGCGCTGGCCAGCCAGACTGGGCTCTCCTAGGTGGTACATCAGCTCACACGCGTTCGAGTCCAGGAGGGGCACAGCCACCTCCTGAAGGACACTCGCCAGGGCTGGATGTGATGTGGGGGCCAGCCTGAGCCCACCTCGAGCCTCGTCCCCATCAGGTGAGCCTCTTCCCTCTCACCTGGGATGGTGGCAGGCTGCACCTCCTACCTCTTCTCTGCCCACCCACCCTGCCCTTCCCAACTCCTAAATCAGGAGACAGTGGGGTCAGGGAGCAGTGCTCAAGCCCAGATCCTCTCCCATGACCCTGGCTAATCTCATGACCTCTTAGCCTTGGCTTATTCATCCCACCATGGGCACAATCCTGGACACTGGCTCAAGATCCCCAAAATCTAATATGGTGGTCACCTTGGCCAAGAGGAGTCCCACAGTCTGGACAGTATGGTTCCTGGCCCCAAGTGTTCCCAACTTCAGGGTGGGGTGGGAGGGGAGAGAAGATAAACATGCGGACCAAGGTCTGTGGAGACCACTCAGGCTGGCTCCGCGTGGTCCCTGGGCTGGTCCTCCCTGGCTAGGAGTGGGAGCTGGTGAATACATATTCCCCTTACCTCTCCCCTGGGTGGACCCCCAGCCTGTTACCCAGCACAGGGACCCAATGGCGAGGGGGGTCTGGGGTCCTGGGAGGCAGACGGGGCTGAACTGGGAGGCCTGCAAGGGGAATTCCAGCTCCATCAGGGCAATGTCCCCGCTGGTGGTGGCCCCACGATATGAGGAGTGGATCAGGAGCCTCTTCACAGTCACCAAGGTCGAGTGGGGCTCTGAAAGGGAGGGTGTCAGCCCTCCGACTTTAACACGGTAGAGCCTGGGATCCTCAGACCTGAGAGGGGAAAGGAAACATGGCCCGCTGCAGGCAGCCGCTGAGGGGAGGGGCGAGGAGCACCCCCACCCAGCGCCACTCACCTCAGGAAGCAGTGGGCGGCCGTGAGCACCCAGCGTGGGTGGATGAGGGAGCCCCCACATATGTGCCCCACTGAGGCCAACCACAGGCCAACCTGCCACGGCCAGCGTTCTTCCTGAGTGTCTTGGCCTCCCACAATCCTCCCGGCCTCCTTGGAGTGGCCGCATTCTGCAGAGGGACGGGCAGGTGGGAGACCTCAGCTTTCTCCTCTCTCAGAAAGCCCCTCCCTACCGGTCTCACTCTTTACCCTAACACCTTCTGACATCCCTCAGCCCTTGATGTTCAGGGATGAGGCTCCCGGGGCCAAGGGCCTCTGCATGTCCCCTGGGGCCAGTCCTCCCTGGCCAGGAGTAGGGGCTGGCTGAGTGCAGGGATGAGATGTCTACGGTACCTGAAGGCAGCACATCCCCATGGGCCCCTGGAAAGCAAGAGAGCAAAGGGGAGCACACAGGCTGGCAGGGGGTGGGAGGGAGGAGAAGACAGAGGCGCACCCCTCACCTGGCAGCAGCCACAGCAGCAGCAGCAGGATGGGGCCTGCCCGAAGCCCCATGGCTCCTCTTCCCTACAGACACTGCACTGGGGTCAGAGTCCTTGGACGGCACCAGAGGTTGGGGGGGCGGGGGTGGCAGGTCATTAACCAGTGGCAATCACGCTGGAGCCCTCTGTGCCTGGCAGAACCTGCCCTCCTCAGATGCCGCTTGGGTTCCTGTCCCACATGTTCCAGGGAGGTGGTTTAGAGGAGGGTGGGGATGCCAGGGCCCACTTCAGGCCAGTTCCTCCAAGGAGCCAGAGGTCAGAGGACCGGTCAGTCCACCCTACTGGGCTGAGATGTGGAAGCCCCACCCATCCTTCCGGCAGGCAGGAGACCCCCACTGCTTCACCTACTGGAAGCTCTGCTCAAGGCAGAGGTGGGGACCAACCCTCTTCACCCTGTCCCCCACCAGGAAGCGTAGTGTATCCACGCAGGCCAGTCGGGCTGCCCCAGCCCACCTCCCGCCTCCCTTCCCACCAGAGGGACCTGTAGCTCCTGCAGCGCCCTCCCGGGGCACACCGTATCTAAGGGGCTGGTGCCCAGGGGAGCCCTGTTCGTTGCTATGGGAACAAACCACAGCCCAGCCCTCCAGACAGGAAGGGTCGAATCAGGAGATACGTTTTCCAGGTACTACTTCCTCCTGCTGCTGCCACTGCCCAAAACTTTTGGCCCCCATCCCAGGGCCAGGAGCAGAGGCGAAGCCAGTCCCGAGGCAGCTGAGGACCACGCCATGCGCTTGGTATTGTGCATGGCCTCCAGCCCGCACTGAAGTCGGCCTGACCCGAGAAGCCCAGGATCGCTGAGGAAGCTCCCCACTGTCGTCGCCTCTCAGCCCCACACCCACCCATCCACAGGCAGCCGGTATGCTCGTCGCGGACCTCATTTCGGCCTCGCTACGACTCTGCCAACAGGGGGCGCCACAGGAGGTTACGGGGTCGCAGGGACTCCTTTCTGTCCGTTTCCGGCGGTTTTCCGTCAAACTTCCTGCGCTCTTACGGAAGTTGAGGGTGTTTCGCTAAACTTCCGGTGGGCTCCACGAGGGTTTCCAGTGGGCTCCAAGAGGGTTTCCGGTGGACTTCCCGTGCGATCAGGCGGGGTTCCGGTCAGTATGCGAGTCCTGTGAGCATCATCTCAGCCTGGCCTCAGGTCCTGGAGGGTCTGGAAAGTGAGTGGTCCCTCTCGGGAGCCAACCAGATGTTCCCACTGGCCAACGATGGGAGCATCACTGTGGGCAATAACTTGGACTGATTTAAATACATAAAATAAGGCCAGGTGCGGTGGCTCACGCCTGTGATCCCAGCACTGTGGGAGGCCTATGCGGGCAGATCACCTGAGGTCAGGAGTTCGAGACCAGCCTGGCCAACATGGTGAAACCCCATCTCTACTAAAAATACAGAGATTAGCTGGGCGTGGTGTTGGCACCTGTGATCCCAGCTACTCAGGAGGCTGAGGCAGGAGAATCGCTTTAACCCAGAGACAGAGGCTGCAGTGAGCCTACACTCCAGCCTGGGCAGCAGAACGAGACTCCTTCTCAAAAATAAAATAAAATAAAAAATAATATATATATATATATATCCGTGAGTTCATAATATTATAAAAAATACCTCCTTTATCATTTTTGGAGTATGCTAAGGAAACAGTTCATTATTTTGAGGATAAATAGGTGCCAAAACATAAAAATTTTTAAAAATAGAATGAAAGGGGCAACAAAAATAAATAGATGATGAAAAGTTTCTCTTTATGGAGAAATTCCTACTACTGGACCAGGAATATCACCATGTTGCAATCTAATGGATTAATTGGTCTACGGAATAATCCTCAACAGCTGCTTCCATCACCAGGAGACAGTTAACTGGTGTGTACCTCCTGATAGACTTTTCTGGAAAAATCAGAGGCCTGCAAGGGGAAGTCCAGCTGCATCAGGGCAACATCCCTGCTGGTACTGGTACAAACAAACAAAACAAGAAGCCTGGAAGGAGGCAGGCTGTGTAGAGCTAGGGCAGCATCTTGACCTCACCATCACACCCATAGCTGTTGAATCGTGGTTCACTGTCATTAGCATGTCAGGTTGTAGCCTTATGGTCATAAATGACTGCTGAAATCTGGGCATTGCATGTGCATTCAGTACTAGAAGAAAGAGGAAGGAGAGAAAGGATGACGCCAGCTGAATATGTTCCTTTTATCAGGGAAAAACAATCTTCCTAAGAAGCCACCCATCTCACTGACCAACACTTAGTCCCACAGGCAGATGTGACCATGCAGGAGACAATGAACATTTAGCTCTTCCAGGTGGAAGAAGCAAACAGAAGAGTTGAAATAGGGGTTGGCTTAGCCAACCAAAGGAGCCTGCCACGGAGGGAAGTCATGTATTTAAGCATGTGCTTTTAAATGCTTGCTTCGGATGCAAAGTGGAGAAGTCAGGAGGTCCCAGACATAGGAGAAAGTTCCCTCAAGAGCTCATGATTTGAGGAAGGAGTAGCCAGACTTCACAGCCTGCAGCTAAGGCAGTTCCTGCTGTAATGACATTTGTCGCAGAGGTCAGATGGTCCCCATCGGTGCTCTTAGGGAGGTAGAGAGAGCTCTGCAAAAGGCTGTTCTATCGGAGAGGTGAAAAAGGAGCCAGAGACATCTGCCCAGGAGTCTAGGATGGGCGTATAGCTGGCCACGGGGGCCCAGTACAACTGGAACATGTGGGATTCCCTCTTGAGGAGACAGCCAGGCCTACGGGTCTCTGCAGCCCCTAGAGACAGGTGATGCTGGTGGGGCGGAGGTAGCGAGGTCCTCCCACCCAGCATGGTTCACATGTGGGACTTGTTCCTGGGCCAGGCTCCAACCGGGGAGAAGGGGGCTGTTTTGTGAGCCATAGACTCAGCATGTCCAGCAAAGTTTGGGGACATGGCCTGGCCCGACTCTGAGTAGGGTGCACACACTGTGAGCTGGCAGGACCCCCAAGGGAAGGGTCCCCAAGGAAAGGGAGCTGCACGTGCTGCCTGAGCCCGACAGCGGCTGGAGAGACTCTGTACCCACCTCCTGGAACCCCACCCTGGTTTGGAGAGGACATCGTTGGAAGTCCTGTTGCACTTCAGAGCCAGAGCTGACTTCCCACTCCACCCCCAGCCTGTCCCTCAGGGCCCTGGGATCCCATGGAGCCACTAAGGAAGGCATGAGAGGCTCCCTTAAACTCAAGGCTGCCTGGAGGCGACCTCCCAACTCAGATAAATCTCCACCCTCCCTGGTATGAATCCTGCCGCTTATGGGGCGGCTTCTCTGCCCCCACTCTAGGCGCTACATTCTGTCAGGGGCTTCTGTCAGGACCCTATTAGAGGGAGTAGATGCAGAGTAGATGCACGTGCACCAGGGCCTGTGGAGGGATGGGGTAAAGGGACATGCACCCATGAAACTGAGGGTCAGAGAGCGAGAGCTGACAAGGAGGAGAAACAGGACAGGAGCAGGGAGAGGAGAGGAGAGGAAAAAGAGGAAGACGAGGGGCAGGAGAGGGCTGGTCTGGGGGCACAGAGAAGGGGGGCAGAGCTGGCGGGGTCGAAGGAGACACTGAAGGGAGAGACTCCAGGACAGAAGCAGGGGAAGGAAGTGGAGAAATGAGGAAGGGGGCACTCAGAGACAGAAGGGGGCAGTCCAGGAGCAGGGGCAGAAGTTGAGTGAGGGAGAGAGGCCAGCAAATGAGGACTGGAGACGGGAGGGGCTAAAGCCCACAGAGGAGGTAAGGGAACCCAGAGCATAGGGTGACATCAAGAGGGGACCAGGTCACAAAGGGAGGGGCCGTGGGGGTTGGCTCTGCTACCTGGGACACCTGAGTCACCCCAGCACTCCCTGGGCCGGTCACTCTAACAAACAGCAGGGCAGTTCTGGTTGGTTGGTTGGTTGGTTGGTTGGTTGTTTTAATAAAAACAACCCCATAGCATTTACTGTGATCTGATAATCATATGAAGGTAATCAGGCTGGGCCAGTGACTCACATCTGTAAGCCTAGCACTTTGGGAGGCCAAGGCGGGTGGTTTGCTTGAGGCCAGGAGCTGGAGACCAGCCTGGGCAACATGGAGAAACCCCGTCTCTATAAAAAATTTAAAAATTAGCCTGGCATGGTGGCTCATGCCTGCAGTCCAGCTACTTGGGAGGCTGAGGTGGGAGGATCACTTGAGCCTGGGAGGTAGAGGCTGCAGTAAGCCAGGGTAACACCACTGCACTCCAGCCTGGGCAACAAAGCAAGCCCTGCCTCGAAAAAAATAAATAAATAAGGCAATCAAGACAGTATGAACAAATATTTTAGAACTGCACTTCCAACAAAGGACTCCAAACAAAACAGAACAAAAAACTAAAACTGTGTTGCCTTCTCCAAACTTGGCCATGTCCTTGATCATTTCTGGACGGAGACATTTCATGGTGGAGTCATAGTGTCTCATTCTTCAGCACAATTGGACCTGGTTGTTTTCCTGATTTCGCTTTGGGTGAATCTCTTCTGTATTGGCTACTAAGAGGATCACATACTCACCAAAGCCAGCAGCACAGCCCTCTAACCACATACCCACTTGTTACAGGAATGCTGGGGAAGGCCTGAACCCAGGCAGGCTGGGATGAGGACCCTGGGTCCAGGAGGCCAGAGCGGGTTGCAGATGAGTGGCTGTGGGGAAACAGAGTATTAATCTGCATCCCTAAGCAGGCAGGAAGCCAGACAGACCCCTCCTCTTGGCCTGGGACCAAACACCCACCTCCCATGGGGACAGGTGGGGTGACTCAACTCCTGATGCCCACAGAGCCAGAGGCCTGCCCTGCCACTGTCTGCTGCTTCTTCCAAAGTGGGGAGTTTAGAGTTTCGCAGTGAGTTGCTCGACGAATCGGCTCCTGGGGATGAGGACCCAGCAGCCTGCCCACGGAGACGGGGCTCTGATGGGGCTCACCTGGGCGCCTCCCTCCACCACCACCCTCAGCTCTGCCATCCTGAGGCCCCTGAGGCCTGTGGTGGGGAAAGCAGAAGGGGGGACTTGGCCGGGGGTGGAGAGGTAGCACCCCACTCCCACGGGGCTGGGTTTCTCCTCACCAGCCTGTTTTGGAATCCAACGCACAGTTTGATTCTCTTCCCCTTCCTGAAGCGGCAGAGCTGGGTCTCCCAGGCCTCTAGACTCTGGCCCCTCTCCATCAGCTGCCCTGCCCTGGTTGGGAGAGGGATAAAAGGGAGGGTGGCCCAGGCTGCAAAGGTCAGGGGTCAGGAGGCCGAACCCTAGGTGGAAGCAGGGGTCAGAGTGAGCCCCAGGTGGACAGGATGGCACAGTCTCTGGCCGGGCCAACATCCAACCCCCTACCTTAACCCCCTCTGGACCCTTGCTTCCCAGTGTCCCCAGGCATAGGAAAAACAGACATTGCAGAATAAATAATTTATTGAAATTGTTGGAATAAATAAGATATGTGGGCAGGGTTACAAATAGCTATAAAAATCATTAACTTTTATAAACACAAAAGCAATGGGGCCCGGGGCGGTACCGGAAGTCGTGGGGCGGGACCTGAGGCCGTCGGGCGGGGCGGGGAGGGGTCTCCTTTCCGCAGCAGCCGTCCGGGCCCCTAGAGGTAGTTGGACCTATTTACAGCGGGGGAATCCGCCCGAGGCCGTCGCAGATCCAGATCCAGATCTGGATTTGGCCGTCTTTCAGATCCGAGCCCCGCGACCCGCTGCGCCCTAGGAGCGCGCCGCCGCCCCAGAGCCCGGGCTCGGTGCCCTGAGGGCCCCACTCCCCTGAGCGCGCCCACGGAGCTGCACCCCTTGCACGATCTTCTCCACCCAGGAGCGGTGCGCAGAGAGGCTGATGTAGACCCCGGGCCTGTTGCGCTCGGCACAGCCCTCGCCCCAGCTGATGATGCCGGCCAGCAGCCAGGCGCCGTCCACCTGGCACATGAGGGGGCCCCCGGAGTCGCCCTGAAAAGAGGAGGCGAGGTTAGGAACCCCCGTGGCACAGGGGGTGGCAGAATCCAGGGCCTGTGCCCTGTCAGGGAGCAGATGAGCCCCGGAGCCCATTTCTCCTTCCTGGGGGAGACAGGACCTGAGCGCCAACCAAGAGAAGTGCCTGGCGACAGAGTAGGAGCTGCAGCCAGGCCTTAAGACGGCCAGGCCTTAAGACGTCCAGGCCCAGGTGCTGCTGCTGCACTATCTGACTGTCTTCCAGACAGTCCCAGAACTAGAGCTGGCTCTGGGTACTGAGGCGTGGGAAACCCCCTGAAGGGAATGCAAGCTCCCGGAGGGCGAGGTGGTGCAGCTGGATGCCCAGTTTAATGTCTGAACAAATAAGTGAGTGGCTGAGCCAGGCTGAGGCTGGTTCTATGGGGACTGCGGGC